GACAATATGATTACTAGCCCGGGATTATTTTTTATTTTTGAGTCTTATTTTTGAGTCAAATTTGCATGCACTTGTCAAATTTCATAGTAAGTTTATGGCCTCAATCAATTGATTCGCGACTTCATTGCCGTTATAACTGAATATATTCAGGTTATGAAGCATTAGACATTCTATCCCGGAAAATTTTTGAATTAAGTTCTGCTTGCAATATCATTCCTTATAAGCTAACGCTCGTACTGTTCGTAACTGAAATGTCTTACCGCTGCTAAGTAAGGTGTGAACAATTTCGATCGTCTTCAATCTTAAAACCTTTTTTATCCAAATATCAACCCGCCCATTTACATTGGAATAAACTGCTAAAGTTTCAAAGAATCCTTCATCGTCGCTTCCGCTTTTCTAGGAAAACGTAATTGAAGGCGGATAATCTGCTCTACGGGAATCGTAAAGGGCTTTTGGTAGGCATACAGTTCTGGCTCATTACTCCACCCAATTATACGCAAGATTAACGTTCGCATTGTTTTTAACAGTCAGTAACTTAAATTTAAAGCAGTCACGCTGACAAATATCCTCATGATATGGCCCAAGTATTTCATGCAAAACAGCTAATTCGTTAGGCCGTTCATCCTAGGAATGCTGAACGAAGCCCTTTCGCATATAGAAGAAATATTTTGTGAATAGAAGTAGTTACATGATGTCTTAAAACTCAATCCAACTTAAACCGACATGATTAAGAATGAATGTGAAACGTACTGAATATAGCAGCATTTGATATTTACCATAGTTTTAAAAGTTATGAGATCTGAAATAAGTATCGAAATGAACTGATATTTTACCCAAATAGAAGCGACTATATCGGACGTTTCACAAGTCACACATCATTGAAATCTTATCTATTCGACTATCATAGCCTTTACTGCATTAATATGTTTGTGGATCACCTCGTTATTTGCATAAACGTAAACAGTTTATAGCGGAACTCGCAGAGCGTAGCTCCATAATACAATATTATACAAAAATAGTAGTAACCCATCAAGCCGAAAAAATTTGGATGTACGACCGTACGACCGTACGACCGTACGACCGTACGACCGTACGACCGTACGACCGTACGACCGTACGACCGTACGACCGTACGACCGTACGACCGTACGACCGTACGACCGTACGACCGTACGACCGTACGACCGTACGACCGTACGACCGTACGACCGTGCGACCGTACGACCGTACGACCGTACGACCGCACAAGGTACTACTTTTAACATGCGTGGTTAACTGTACCGCGGGCACGCCGATGCCACGGCTTTGTCCAGTAGTCCAGTGGTCAGTGCACTGGGTTCCGAGTCGGACGACCCGGGTTCTAGTCCTGGCCGAGGCAAGGTGTTGTGCCCTTGAGACGTGGAAGGAAAAAAAATGCAAGCTCCGCTTTTAGGCTTGGCTAAATCTAAATATTACTAAACCTCGAATTCTCCATTCGCTCTTTCGAAGAGTTAACGCTCGAAATGTCAGCTTAGAAACTCTTTACGGTGGCCAGTTTACGTTATCAACTCAGTTGATAATGCTAAATGACCCTGCTAAAACTTCAGTCGTATTTCAGCTTCTAAACAAAAACCATGTCAGGCGTCTCTATCTGTCAACATCATCTACGCAAGCACGGTCTAGTACGATCACGGCTGAGCTCTGTGTGACGATCAAGGAATTCTCTCATAAGTTCCAGTGGCGATTCCAGACCTTGAGCTTGAGGCTCGGCAGCTGCCCACCGAACACACGATTTTGCAGCTCGGACTATGTTTGCTGTGATAGTTAAGGTAGAAAGTTTGCCGAATGCTCCAACCTGATTTTCACTTTAGACACCAGCACAAGTGGAACGTGATGCGTGCAAGCCGAGAATAGCCAAACTACAAGACAGGACAATTATAAAAAGTTCCTTTTCCTTGAGCTTGATGATCACTGTTAATGACGCGATACAGTTCTAAGAGAAAACGAAATTTAAGAAAGAAAGTGTTCATTCTTTTAATGTTTACTCAGTTCATTCTTCTAGTGTTAACGCATTAGCTTAGGCTTGTTGATCGCCACGACTTTCACTCGAACAGTCCCAATTCTAGGCTTCTTTATCCATTTGTTACGCTATTAAAAATCATGGTGTAATCTAGAGGAAACGCAAGGCTGCTACCCTACTGCTATCCTACCCAGACTAATCACCTTCCATAGGATTTCATAGCTTCATTCTTCTTGGGTACTCTCTTACATAGATGTCAATTATGTCATCTAGATCTAATGTGATGTCTGTGTGGACATGCAGAAGAATCAGTGCGTACTGGCGTATCAGTACTGGAGAAGAGGCAGTTGCAAAGAATCCCTTTTTACATTCATCAAGGAAAGGAACAATTTTGAGCATTTTGTTTGCATTTACACCGAAGGAAGGGAGGAAAAGAAAATTATGGAACCCTCTCAAACTCTGTCTTTACCCAAAGAATTACGCTCAGTTCCTTGAAAAGTTGCTGGAAAAATTTGACTCAAATGTTCAGCCAATACGTGTTGTAGAACTTTTATGTCTTCTTGGACAAAAGACCAAAAGAAGTACAGAGAAAGTATGCAGCGAGTGGAAGAAATTTACCTCCTGAATGCTGCAAAGTTTGAAGAAAATCCGTTATCAAAAGTTTACTTTCATAACAGTTATGCACGCTTACTTTCCGATTAAAAAGATCCCAAAGAAAACCAAATAATTGAGCAAGAGACTCAATCAGCTCTAGCTGTTAGTAGTGCAAGCCAGGGCGATCGTCATCCAGAAATAGCAGCAACTCTTCTTCTTTCAGAAATCATTGCCAAACGCGGCAAGCAGCGTGATACAGCTACTAAAATGCTAATAAAGGCGTTAGAACTCTTTGAATGGTGCCTTGGTAAACATTTTATGACCGCCGAACCCCTGAAGGCCATTGTAGACCTCCGTTTCTTTCTTGGTGGAGAAACAAAAAAGGAAGACGATTTAAAAATTTCCCCTTAGTATTGTGATGCAGCCATAGAAATGTTCGACGGTCTTGCCGAAGGTGGAAGCAAAGATAACATCCTGACTTTGAAGAGTTACACAGCTTGTCACAAGAAGAGAGGAATCTTTGATGAGGCAATGACTTTATTCACAAAGGCAGAACAAGTTGCCGAGAGAGAATTAGGAGAGAATCACGAATGGAAGGTCTTGATCAAGACTACATGGGCCATCTAACACGACGAGATAGGAAACACGGATAAAGCGAAACTGATGTTTGAAGGACTGTCATAATGATACAAGTAATGGCATACCAATTAAACAAGGATATCAAATTTTATAGAGACCTCTATGATTAAAACCTCTGTATGTATGAGTGACAATTCCTATTGAATACAAAATGTTCAAATTTATAGAAACCAAGGTGGCTGATTGCTTTTGTCGTTTTATGCAGAATAAATATTTTTAGCAGCTAATCCAAGGAACTCAGGTTCAATGGAGCTTTTCTATACCAAATAAAGATTAAATGTCCCATTAGAAAAATTTCCGGAGTAGCACGTTTATTCTGGGCAGCAATAATTCCCAAGATGTTCATTTATGTATTTTTCCTACTGCTGGATTACCGAAAATGACTTGCCTTGGTCTCCCATGGCAACGTGGCCGACTGGTTATTTGATAAACCTTATCGGCGTAAGAAAGTTGACGATACATGCAATTACCTTACTAACTGCGGAGAAAGCAATCAAGTCGGTAGATTACCGTTGAACAACTTTGTTTATCATGCCAAAATGTTCGTCAGATCATTGTTTGACCTCAGTGTGTCAGATATAATCGATATTCTGACAGTTTATATATCAATACACCATAGCCAAATATTGAATTTTCAGCAAAACAAAAGGTTCCAAAACATCTCAAATTCATTTGATTCACATCTTTAAAAAAATCAACTTGTAAACATTTGAAGACAAAAAAATTTCTTTAAATTCATTATTATCACCTTTATTGATATTCTTTTTTTTAAATGAAAGGAAAATCTCAAGTCCGTGTTTGAATTTTCAGACGAAATGCGCGCGTAATTCATGAGTGGAAATTAAGCCCAAGTTTTCTCGCTTCGTTGATAACTTAAATCTCATCTGCTGAGGAGGTAATAGCTGATAGGCTTATTCACGGTGAAATTGCCTTAGATTGCCGCAAATCCTTTCCGCACAATTGTTCAACGGCATGAAAAGAAAATACATTTTAAAATTACACTGAAAGTCGACCTTCACAGGTGCTCTATACACTGGCATTCAAATAATATCGAAATATAAGCAGTTGAAATGTTGATGTAAAACTGAATAAGCGAAAGAAGAAAAAGGTATAATGGAAAAGAAAAGAATGAATATGGATGAGCTGCCACCCAATGGTTTTTGGTTTCCAAGATTCCCTTTATTAGAGTGGCATATTGACAAAATTAACACAATTTCGCGCTTTTATTGTAATGATGTCACAGGCAAGTAACTTTAGAAGTAAACAATCAGTTTTCATTTATTACCTTTTGGTTTCTTAGTCGTCAAACACTTCATAATGCTCTCAATATGGAAATGAATATTCTGTCAGACAGTAGAATATTCTGTAAAACATGCACCAAAGTTAATCTTCATTGTTGCATTTTTCGCTTTGTCTCTCTTCTCAAATGGTAAAAATTTTCTACCAAGCTTGCCAAAGTTTACCATTTATGGGCCTCTGTTTTCTGATATTCCGTGACGGATTCATGACCACAAAAAAGAAAATACGTGATTTGCTTTATTCTTCATAAAAATTACCACACGAAAAGTGACAAAATTGTTTTAAGCTTCGATAAGCTTTATGAAGTCTCGACCTCATAGAACAATAGCGTCAATAAATTTAAAAACTGAGATACTCGCAACAACACCAGTTGTTCTTTTAAAACACGAGACCAGAGTGAGAAATCCATTCAATTTTATTAGGGTGTAAACGCAATGTGTTTTCACTTATTATAAATATTTCAGTTATGCTAAACACATGTTTCTTTCTCAACGTACGTAACAACCTTTCGACAACATGGCCCTGCAGTGTCTGAATTTTGTCTGTAACTAGCAGACGACCGTCTTGAAAACGACGAAACTAAAGATGACCCAAAACGTTTTTGTCTTCTTCCAAATAACTTACATCTTTCCTGCGTTACACGTGGTCTCCTACAACGAAGAATATCGAGAATAGCTTTCTTAAAAGTTCTACTGACCATAATAAATAAAAGAGGATTGATACATGAGTTCAGGTAGGTTAGAGACTTAACAAAGTCCAAGACGCCAGGATTTATCGAAGAAGAAGTGGATCGTTTCGTGGAAAGGATAAGTGTCAAGACAAAAAACCCGACCCAACATAGAATAAACATTCCGATAACCAGAACCATTTGTTTAGCCGAGCGAATATCTCTTTTAAGTTGCATACCCCCACTACGCCGTAAGACGCAAGTTCTTGTGGTGACCTGGTAAATCTTGGCGTAGGAAAAAATGATTATTATAAGTGGTAGGAAAAAGCTGATAATGGTGATAAACACTCCTTTGTAGTTCCAGTTTACGTGGAGAATTCCAGAGAGACCGAGAGAGGTTGCCCAAACAAGTACAATAACTCCCTTAGCTCGAGTTGGCGTGAGTATCACTAAGTGTTTAAGCGGGGATGCGACTGCAAGAAATCTGTCTAAACTAACCAAGCACAGGTTCCATATTGATGCCGTGCCACAAAGGATATCTATTGATCGCCAAACATCGTAGAATACGGCTCCCCCAGGGAACATAGTACCATCCGATGTAACTCGAGAAACCAAAAAGATTGGCATTGCTAGTAAAGCTGTCAGCAAATCAGCCAAAGACAGCGACACAAGGAAATAGTTTGTAATTGTACGCAGTTCTTTACAGAGGTAAAACGCAACCATCACTAAAGTGTTTCCGAGGAGCGTCAATATAATTAGTATTGCGATCAGTGTACAAGTGATGACTACGAAGTACAATTCCTGTTTATCTGAGTTTCTTGATGCCTCCATCGCAGACACGCTGAAATTGGTCATTTTTATTTCGTGTTTTCTTTTACGCTCCAGCTAAAGCGATCATAGGCTTACACTGCCCCGTGCTTGACGAAAATTTACATGCCTAATAAGGATATGCAAATTATTAAGTCTCATCGCGTACCAATTGGCTGTTCCTCTTAATCCCCTAAGAAGTATTGAATATTTGTAATAAGCCGAAAACACTGCATGAATAATAAGGAATTTCTCAAGCTCAATTTTCTATACTTTTCATTCTTAACACGATTTGAAAATGGGGTATTTTGGATTTTATTGTAATGTGAATCTTCTCTTTGTTAGACAGACGATGACCATTTACGAAAAAAAAATAGTTGCACTAAAAATTTTGATAGATCTCTACATGTTTAAAAAGTGATATAAAAACTCAAGAAAAATATTAAAAAATAGTCGTTATTGATTTAGGACGCAAAGTTCTTTAAACATTGCATCTTGGATGATCTGTATTTTTTCCAATTATGAGATACGAGCACTATTTGGTACAGAGCAGCTTATGGCCTGAATAAGATTACGTTTTTTTTCCAATGTCTTCGGGGAACTCCCAAAGCTGAACTTGAGAACGAGACGTAATTAACAGGCTGCCAATTTAAAAGTAGAGTTTTGCTTTTCGCACTCGTTTGGTATAACATTGTGCTATATAAAGAGGAATTAACATTTCTACGTCATGTTGTGCATGCTTACTTTCACGAGTCCATTTAGACTTTTATTTTAATTACACTGCGCAAATCATCACCTACCTTAGTTTTTGTTTGAGAAGTGTCTAAGTACTTTATGCTCTGCCGCACGATATATCAACTCGTGATGAACTACAGTTCTGGAAAGAAAGACATCTTTATAGTCCAATGGTTTAAGCTAACACCTTATTCAAACCATATTTACATACACGTCTCAAATAATTATATTGTGTAAATATGAGGCATAAACTTCCATTAGAGATGGCCTTTGATCGATTCTAACGCCGATCTGTCTCAACCTAAGTCTGCCATCTCACATCCTTTCTTCGCGAATCGAGAAAGAAAAAGATCATCTTGACCTTGGAAAATTGAGGAACAAAAACCATAAAACCTCATCTAAGTCAGGTGTGCTTTATATTTTAGCCGTGTTAAGTTGTTATGAGTTCATTTACATAAAAAATCATTTGGTGGGCGGTGATACTAAATCTCAGGTGCGCACGGAACTGTCAAATACAGGCAGTTTTCCAGTTGTTGGCCATTTCGAACGTGAGTATATAATCCGATTGTTCTCAATAACTGTGATAGTCTCTCCAGTGCGCATCAAATATGCTCTTAGTTACTTCATTGTCCATGTTCTTCACTAATCCCCGTCATGAATACATGCAGCTCATACGTATTATGATTGGTGATACACAAAACTTTATTTTTAAGATAGCTTTTCTTGTCTACAATGTATGCAAATTTGGCTGGCAATTTTTAATGTACTTCTGAAGTGTCGCAGTTGTCAGATCGGAAGTTGGAAATATTCTTGTATTGGTTATCAAGATACTTGGAATTGATGTGCCTCAAAATCTTTTCCCAAAAAGCTCTTCCAAGCCTTATTTTTTCGAGCTGTGCCTCACGGAGTTGTTATTTCACTTTTCCAACGAGAATTAATTTGCCACCTTTCCAGCCACAAGTCAACTGACATCACTTATTTCAAATATCAATTGGGATTAAAATTCTACTTTGGTAAAACTCGCAACTGAAGAGCTTACCTGAGTAGTTATACCCCATGTGAATCAAATTTTCGCTAAAAATTATCTCCCTAAGTGGTAGTTGATGAGGCAAGGGAGTATTAATTCAAGCATCAACCTTGTTACCGATTATCCAAACCGGCAGCGTGAAGCGGCACCAGTTTATTACTGGTTGAGGCAATTTTAACTGGCGGTGACTTGTCTCAGTAGTTATTCCGGTACCTTTTTTTTCGGTCCAGACAGACAGTTTCAAGATTGGGTGCAAATGTCCAGAGCACGGAAAATGCGAGAGTAACCATATCCTTCGTCGTTTACTTTTTCTTTTCAGAAAATAACTAGACACTACGAGCGCCCTAATTGGTACAAACCTACTGTTGAACCCATAGCAAAATTGGAGTTTGTTTTGTAAATACGAGAAAATTTTGCCATGAAAGCGTTATTAGTAGTTATTAGTAGTTAGGACTTTTTACGCGAGACAAAAAATATGATCAATACTTTGGTTTAATATGCATTTTAATAAATTGCGTGTGGCATAATCTGTGACGGTACCTGACTCAATAATTTTGAAATTAAAAGTATAGAAGGTGGGAATTTTACACAACAAATTCTTTAGTGAGGTTATAGATTAGAAATATGCAGCATTCAGGTCGCCCTTTCTTCTTTCAAAATCTTGCAGTCTTGGGCTGTTTCTGAAGATAAGATAAAATTTCATTAGCCATAACGGCCGTCTGAACTTGTTCTCTCTTAGCCCTATAAAAAATAAATAATATAATAAAACTCCCCAATTTCTTTCTCCGAAAAACATTCCCTAAGCAGAGATCCAAGTTAACTGAACACAAATGGAATGGTAATATTTATTATTTCGTCAATTGTCCATTTAACTTGTAGCGAATCAAATAATTAAAACCGGACTTTGTGTCGGGTCGCACTAGATCGAATTCAAATATTTTCCGATTTTTCAGTTCGCAAACCAAAAAGTGGCAAAATTTTGAGCAATTTCCAAATTTCATCCACACACATCTTGCATATCATGGCAGCTAAATGGTTAAAAAACATGAATGTTTATTTTGCCTTCAAGGCAGGACATCGGGTCTTTTAAAATTGGCGAACAGGTTGGTAAGTTTTTCCTGGGCTCCTGGTCGCACTTAGTTTACGCTATTTTGTTGACAGATTTTCAGACTTAAACACACAAAAAAAGCGCTACACATTGCGACCCGGGCCTTGTCAGTAAATTTATTAATACCAAGTGGCATTTCACGCCACTTATATATATGGAGGTGCTCTGATAGATACTTAACATGCACGATAACTATTCAATGGTCCAGAATCATCTCGAACCCATAAGGGACACGCAAGGGACAAGGTCACGGTAACTAATTCTATTGTGTATCCTGGCACTAGATTTTGCAATGTTTTTTGTAGGCTATCCTTCTTCAACATTTCTTGACTAATTCTCTCTTTCGTGCATGTGTTTGGTTTTTATCTCCTCCCAGCCTCTCAACAACGTCCTATTTATTCAACACCATTAATTTATGATGGTAATTGAGCTGAGCGGAGTATAATTTGTACAAGTAATCACAAGATGTCGAGTGCAATTTAAGATAAACGGCACGAGTAAATTTTTAAATGGCTAACCAAATTGCACGGGCCTGTATAATTAGAAGTCTTTGAAAATTTTACGGGTGCTGATTTATCCCGCGATTTATGGACGAGAAAAATCACGTGATTACTAATTGATAGTATGGCTCTGTTTTTATTTTTATTTGTCCCTATTTCGTGCCGTATCTCACTAGTTCGGCCACTTGCCTTTGATTTACCTTGTTGCCGGAGTAATCGGGCTTTTTCTCCAAGAATCTGCTTTAAACTTTTAAAACCCCTCTCGAGAATAATTGAGCGTCTGTATTCTTTCTCTGCTAACTATCGGTCGACGACAGTAACCATTTCACGAAAGCTATCACGCTCCTAAATTTCCCCGTCTTTTGTGCGAACTGTCGCGTAAAACTCCTCGAGAATTTTTTTCAGGGCCTCTGGTTCATACTTTGATATCCACTTTTGGAAGCCAGACTTTTAGCCAATTGTTTTTTCTTTGTTGATTGGTTTTGTTTTAGCATTCTCCCTCAAACTCTGAGTTAAACCCTTCTTACTTTCTCCTGTCCTATCCGCCATTTTGTTTTAATGTTCTTCTGCGAGTTACCCGACAATCAGTTTAATTTCAACTTTCTGTACTGTTTAGGATTAATTGACGTGTTCTCAGCCAATGAAATTTTTGCATGTGTATTATTAGGTCTGAAATCCTACGAGTGATTTCTACATTGAACGAGCGCGCAGCGCGAGTTTAATTGTAATCACAAGACAGTATGATTTCACACCAAAATTGCACAACACGAAGTTCAATTATCACTTTATTACATCCATTTTGATACTCCAAAATTCAATCCCTCAAATACAAGACTTTTTAGCATGTACAAATATTTAAGTGGTCCAATACTGAGCTGGTTTGTTAACAGTTGCAAAAGTTGTCTTTCGCTTTCCTCTAGCTTGAGTGGTTACTTTAAACAAGCCTTGAAATCTGATTTGTTGTTGTGTTTTAGTAGAGGTTCCACATGGGAAAAGGATGATATTTAGGACAAAAACTGGTCCGATTCGTAAATCATTACCAGCAATCCGAGACATTTTACTCCCGCGGTCCGCGAGGTCAGTAGTTTCTTCAGGTTCTACTGTTCATGCGCTATGGCGTCAGATTTCATGTAAACATGTAGCGAAGTAGATTTCCGCGGAGGAATCGAGTTGATTATAAAGCACTAAATGTTCTTTCTACAGTGGATTTAGAAGTTCATTTGAAAGGAAGGAGAAAATTTAAAAGCGGATCTAAAGTTTATTTTGTGGAGAGACTTATCAGCCGGCGAAGATTGAAGAACGAGGTATGTGTATTGACCCTTTTATGTTCCTGCAGCTATATTTTACTTCGGATGAAATTTATACTACAATCGAAGTAAGTTCATAAACAGCTCTAATCAATCTCTGACAATTTCAGGACTTTGAATACCTAGTAAAATGGAAGGACTGGCCATTGTGGACAAGCACGTGGGAGCCTTCGGCAAAACATCAGACATTTTTTGACGATTCAGACTGGAATGAGCTCACAGTGATACAAGTTTTGTTTTTTATAATTGGCGCGATTTGGCGCTTGTAGGAGTCTGCAGATTGTTAAAACAGCGGTAAAAAGCGTGGAAATGCTAGGCTGCTAAGCTGAAGTAAATATGGCGACTTTTTTCACGAAGAAAACGATGGAAAG